CAGCATCATAGGAGCAGGAAGGCTGACGTTTCGGGCCTAGACCCTTCTTCAGAAAATTTAGGCCCGAAACGTCAGCCTGCTCCTATGATGCTGCTTGGCCTGCTGTGTTCATCCAGCTCTACGCCTTGTTGTCTCAGATATTTGATCCAGTCGGATTTCTCTGTCTCCTGCTGAGAACCAAACACTAGTTAGAATCAGATGGCTGCCCATACAAGTCACCCTGGCACAGTTCACCAGCCTACATGCTAGCTCTGATCCAGGAATCTTCAAACTTCTACTGCCTTTTTATTTTTTATTCATTCGCAGGACAAGGGCGTGGCTAGCCAGGTAGCATTTATTGCCCGTACCTAATTGCCCAGAGGACAGTTAAGAGTCAACTACATGGCTGTGGGTCTGGAGTCACATGTAGGCCAGGTAAGGATGGCAGTTTCCTTCCCTAAAGGACATTAGTGAACTAGATGGGTTTTTCTGACAACTGACAATGGATTCACGGCCATCATTAGACTGTTAATTCCAGATATTTATTGAATTCAAATTCCTGCCGTGGCGGGATTCGAACCCAGGTCCCCAGAAGATTATCTGGGCTCCTGGATTAACAGTCCAGCGATAATACCACTAGGCCATCGCCTCCCTCATATACAGGTTATTAAAGCCCATTACATATTCCTCCACAGAATGACCATCCGTTTTCCAAACTAATATGAGTTTGATCATACCTCAGGCAGTTAACAGATAATCTTTCTTGTAAAACGTAATCCAAACACTAATTGCCGGTCCAAAACTTCATTACTATCCAAATGACAGGTGTTCAACTCTCCGGAAGCATCACCACCAAGGCGGTTTTTCCACTTGGTAGGGAGGTAACCATGTCTGTATGACCACCTAAGTCAGTCCATGATCATATGGTTCAAATTCAGAACACTGGAGTGCAAACATAATTTACAATTTATATTTGCTGACCAAGTTTTTTGACAAAAGCAACCAGGATTGTATATTCTCATCTGATTTTCTCCCCCCAACTTGGTTCTAACCTTCACTTTTGGACAGCCACGCTCTGTTCCCATGTTCTAATCCAGAAATCAGTTAAGTATAGAATTGTAACCAATCAGTATTTTTGCATTCATTTACAGAGTATCATATTACAAGAAGGCATCTTCTACCACAACAGCAGTTTGACCCTATGTTTATTGTAGAAACTCAAGTGATTTACCAGTTGACACCAACCACCCGCATACAATCAAATACAATATGCTATAAACATAATGTACAGATAATATGCTGATGACACCCAACTCTACCTTTCTGTGTTGTATTTCCATGCCTTGATTCCCGAGTAAAATATGAACCCTATCATCTTTGGTTCATGTGTTAAATATCTTCAAATATCTTACACTCTCACAACCGCCGCCATTATTACAGGTCAAATCACTCTATTAGCAACCATTGCCTACTACCTGACCTTGATCTAAGCTCCTGCCCATCACTTCATTTCTACTCCTACTTAAGTCCATAGGCTTGAATAACACAAGGCAACTTTTGTAACTCTAGTCTCAAGGGCTCTTAAATTCTGCCAGTTCATCTCCACAAGCTTTGGGTCATCGAAAATTCTGCTTCTCATATCCTGTCCCACTTGCCCAACATCCAAAGCTTACTGCCTTATGTAGGCTTCCAGTCAACTAGTGGCTAAAATATAAATATGCCTGACATAAAACCAATAGGAGAGATTGGGAATGTACAGGCTTTGCATTGCATAATGTATTCTATACTGTTGGTCTGTTAGCCATCTAAGAAATGGTACTTTTCAGAATGTTATAGAATTAGTAGGCACAGTACAAGGCCAACTAGTAGAAGGCTGTTTCTCTTCCCTCTCTGGAAAAAACTTGAACTATTCAGAGACCAAGGTAAACAAAAGAGCACCATTTTCCTTAGTGGTTATTACGGGTTTGTTGCAATGTCTATTAGTACAGGCTTCCATGTGGACATTCTGTAGGCAATGGGGACATGTCTGGAACCTTCTTTTATTAAGATATACGCCTGCACGTGATTGACAATTTGGGTACCTGACCTTTAGTCATTGACCAGCTGGATATGAAAAAGTGAATGGTACATGATAGAACAACCAGCCCTTAAAACTAAAATACATTAATAGGTTCTTTGGGTTCAAAGGGCAGCCCTTATCTAGCAGAGGGCAAACAGCTTCCTAAACAGTTGGCTTGAGAAGGTAAAGCATAAAATAAGAAAACTACTGCTTACAAACAAAGAGACTGTCACTTCCAGCTGCAGAGATTGGCTTCATCTGACACCATGACAATAGCTATACATTTTTCTTGTCTGTTTAGCCCATGCATCATTTTAATCTATTGTTTCATAGTAAACTACTTAAAATCATCTTGACCGTCTTTTTGGGTAATCAGCAAATCCTAAACCTTAAACAGGAGGCACAAGAATGAATTCCAACCATAGAACAAAAATAGATTGTTTAATGGAATTTTTAAAATTATGCATTATCAAATCACTATTTCAGTAAGAAACAGGAATATTCAGCCGGGTCACAAGTACACAGAATTCAAGTGGACTGAGACAGCTAGATGGAAGTGTTCTTTTAAAAACACCATCTGGAAACAACTCAAGTTCACATGTAGATGCTTGATTTAAGCAAGTAATAATTTGCCAGAGACCACAAAAGGTAAGCTAATATAGCAAAATGAAAGCATTGCAATCTCAAAATTCACTTAAGACAAAACACTTCAGTCGTGTCCACAAAATTAAGCCAAAGACTGCCACACAGAAAAATTCACGCAAATGCAAAATGCCCAAATAAATACCAAAAGAGTTGCCAATAGATCGACCGCAAATTGTTTAGGAACTACTTGAAATTACCGAGCGATAAAATTAATATTCAAAGAAGTGCATTGCTTGTGCTTCATTTTATTATGTAATACCATCTAACTTGTAAACAGGAAATAGTTCGGACATAGACCGCCAACAGAAACCATTTGGTATAACTGCAGTTCACAGCATAGATGTTTACATCAAGTGTCAAAAATGGAGATAACTGGATTTTACATTATCAAGTGCAATTTCTTTCAACAAATTATCAGTGCTGTATATTAATGGAGAATACTATGCAAATCTTCTCGCAAAAAGTTAATTATCTTGTTCAAACTAATTCTACATCTCTTTTCTACCTTTGATCTGGCACTCAGTTTAACAGAGGGGCATAAATTTGTTCCATCTAATTATCTTTGGTTCTGCCACAAACTCAGTCTGAATCACCAACTCTGTCAGTTGCTTATCCCTCTGTCTGAAGTGCAATCATACTGCAAGCAGCCTTGGAATTCCATTTGATCTGAACTGCGCAACCTATCCAAACATTCCCCATCACCAAGATCACCTAGTTCTATCTCCACACTAGTGTTAGACCGATCCCCAGCTTTAGTGTCATCTGCTGAGCTCTCATTCACATGTTTGTTACCTATAGAGTCAAGCACCAAAATCCACCTGGTTAACATGATGTCTTAGATGCTTTCTAAATTGAGTTTATTCAAAATTCTCTGCTGTTTGCGTCCTAATTTGCACCAAGTCCTAGTCACAAAGCACCCTGCATTCAACAATTTACAACATGTAGTAAAAACTATGGCATAGTGGTAATGCCGCTGAACCAGTGATCAGAGCCCCAGGCTTATGCTCTGAGAACATTACCTTAAATCCCACTATTTGAAATTTAAGCTCAATTAATAAGTTCAGAATATAAAACTAGCCACATCAAGCAATCATTAATACATTTAAAAACTCATCTAGTTCATCCACATACTTCGAAGTAAGGAAATCTGCCACCCTCACTCGGTGTGGCCTTCACGCAATTCTAGACTCAGAGCAGTGGGACTGACTCTTAACTGCCACCAAGATCAGTGGTATTACGAATGGAAAGCAACTGCTGACCCGATTAGCGATACCTACATCATTTAAAAGAGTAGAGAGGAAAACAAAATGACACCTGTCCAACGAACCAGTTTTAAGATCTTGATCTGATCATGAATGTGTATTAAAACAAGCAGAGTTTTGTACAGTTGCAAGTTTATGGATAATAGAATTCTGAAGATCAAACACGAGTTTGTTGGAATAAACTTGTCTAGAAGTAACAGAAGCATTTGAATTTAGAATTTCAATAATAAATTAGCTGAGGCAGGGGAAAGAGTTAGGTGATGGCTTGGGGTGAGAAGAGATGCTCTTAGTGATGGTACAGATCTGTGTTTACAAGTTTATCTCAAGACAAATAGGACACCAAATGTTTATAAATAGTCTGGTTCAGCCTCACAAATGTAGTATGGAAAAGGGATGGAGTCTGTGTTTAGGAAACAAAGTTTGTGGATAATGCTTAAACCTTCACAATGTTTAGTTGGAAGTTATTTCTGCTCATTTGCTATTGAATGTCAGCTAAGCAGTCTAATTATCTGGAAACAGTGGAGCAGTTAGAGAAAGTATTGGTAGAGCTACGTATTGTCAGTGCCCCTGCTGAAGTGACATTGCTTTTTGGATTACATCAATTATGGGTATTATGTAGATATAAAAAAAATAAACTTTTGAAAGTGTCCTATTAAAGTCAGCCATTTGTTGGAATAGAAATTTAAAATTAGCATTTAAGAAAGAAAAATTGAATGCGAGGCACTAGTGTAAATTAGAAATTACAGAGTGCAAGACAAAACAGAAGTAAGTTTTACCTACCTGTGCTCCCCCATCTCCCTTATAGCTGCAGAGTCAGCAAGATTCAGCAAGATGGCAAGAAATCTGCACAGGCAATAAGGGAGAAGAGGTGCTAAGACAATAGACAATAAGCAGGCAGGCCAAATATGCAGCAACTAGCTAAGCGTCACAAAGCTAATTTTAGAGAAGTACTTTATGGATAGTTGATTTATAATTTATTTCAAATGCATTATCTTATTCACATCCCCTTGAAATTAAATGCACGCTATGAAAATGAAAACAAATACGCTGTATACATTTACATATCTTATGAGACATCACCTGATCAGTTGTTAAAAGTAGTGGTTGTGAATATGTTCGTGATTTGGCAATTATGATTCATTATCCTTTATCTCAGCAATCAATAAATCACATCTAATGCTACAGTACCAACCATATTGCTTAACTAAATAAAATTTTGAGTACTTGTACTCAAAATTCAAGATCAAAAAATGTTGAAAATACAAATAGTTATATCAGGATCAACTGATAAAATTGAATTTGTCTCCGAATTCACAAATGCAAAATAATGAGACTGTTCTTGAGATCAAAAGATGTGTTCACAAGTTTATGCCTCTTTTACTTTTCAGTTCTGAAGGGGAACTAATGCAAAACATTAGTTCATGATAAGCAAATTTTTTTATATCATTCTGGATTTCAATAGAACAATTATCACATTTAAAAAGTGCTTATTCAAGTCAACAATGTTAAGAAATCAGCATACTTCCTAAAGAACATGGGGAACACATTTTTAGCCTTTCGTTATAATGAACTAATTTATAGAACATGGCCACGTTATGGAAACATCACAATTTTCCAATGAGTAAATTTAGAGCCTAATGGCTGGCATAAGCAACATTAAAATAGCAATGGGATGATTTTTTGTTATTTTGTGGCATTTCAGGGAAAGCAAGATGTTTGTTTGCCACGGCATTAGAAGATCTGACTCTTCGGCTTTCAAACCCAGAAAATGCAACACTTTATTTTAATCACATTCAAAAATGGCACCTTTAACATATCAACAGAGCTTCCCAAATCAAATACGAGATTCATGAGCTCAGTCAGCGAAGGCACCATGAAGCACTCCCCAGCCCCCATTCTTCAGGCCTTCTGTCCACGATCCCTGCACTTACAGGGTCTTCCAAACTACCCACGCCTCATCCTTTAACTCTCAACACTGTGGGATAATGATAATTTCCAAGCCCCAAATTGGGGTCCCAGCATAAAAAAAAAATTGGGAAATACTTATCCAGCAGTTGATTGAATTAAGCAATTGTACAGAATCAAAGAGAAGTGGGAAGCTGCTGCTCTACTTCTTAAAGAAGGGATTTTTTTAAAGATGAATAGATTCTGGGAAGATGGAGCAGTTGTAAGAGTAGGCTTATATTCGTAGTTTTGCCAAAAAAAGTTTGAAAATTGAAAACCTCAAGCAAAATACTTGTAAGATAATCAATGTTTGCAGTGAAGGAGGAAAAGGGAACAAAATAATTTCACTAATCAATTATTACACAATACTATTCTCAAGTGTTTATTTTGTGCAACTAGAAGTATCCAGTTTCAATGCATTCTTTGCAATAATAAACAAACTTCTCGACAAACAAGCATTACCTTCTAATAACTGCTAGTGGTACAGAACTTAAGTCATTGCAAAAAGAAGACAAGAAGTCAAGCACATTTCATTTTGCACTCATCAGAACTAGGATTCAAAGCAGATTTGAAAGAGAAACTGCATTTTATATAGCACAGGAGAAGCGTGCTGACTGGCTCGGTCATCGTTAGGCATGGTGACATAAGGCCCAGGCTCAAGTCCCACTCGTTCCAGATGTTTGTAATTACATTCTTGAACAGGTTGATTAGAAAATAAAAATACCGGTTAAACTTAATTTTCAGATATTGCCATGGGGATGCAATAAAGATTGGCTGTTTCCATAACCGTTTTAGTGTGGAAAAGGTGCAACGTATGTAAAAAAAAATTTCCTTTTGTCAAATCCTGTAGATTTATAAACATATCTTCTGGCATGTACAAACACAACACACCACGAGCCCAACTGATAATGTTACATTGGTTTCCAAAGCAGAGCTTAGCATAGTCCAGATAATTTAATATAATGATTTCCAATAGCAGAACAACATCTAAATGATGGAGCATTAATCAGCTTGCTGCTTGCTGAAAATGGTCAGTGAGATGTGGTGTTTTGACACAGCGCCCCAGTCATTGTTGTACCTGGCATTATACTAGAGTGGTTTGCTTTATTTTCATGTGTACCTCAGTACAGTGAACAGCTTTGTTTGTGAGCAGTACAGGCAGATCATTGGAAGCAAGGACATACAAGGTCAAAAGTCACATGACACCAGGTTATAGTCCAACAGTCTTAATTAAAATCACAAACTTTCAAAGCGCTGCCCCTTTATCAGGTGAAAAGAAGACAGCACCCAGACACAGACTTTTTAAGTCAGAGATCACAAGATCATACAGATGGTGCGAATAAAGTATCAACAGCTGAATAACAAGTGAAGGGATACCTATGATCTGATTAATACAGGCAGAGAGACAATTACAAAAAATTTAAAAACAAGTGGTGCTGGAGACAAACACAATAACTGGAACAAGATGCTAGGTATAACAGTCGCGTTCCAAGGTTCTAACCAAAGTAAGAAGTAATCCAAAACTGTACAAACTAATTACGGTAGAGAAATTATAACAAGTTATCAATGTGATTGTGTCAGAACAGGACAGTGAGGAAGATTTTACAGATACAGAACAGTATGGTGGGTGACATGTAGTGTGACGTGAACCCAGGATCACGGTTAAGGCAACAGATGAATGGACGCTGCGCAACAACCACCAGACAGGAATGTTCCTTACCAGTCAGGGAACACTTCAAAGACATTCAGCCACCAACCTTCGGGCAAATGTCCTCCAAGGTGGCCTTCGAAATACACAACGCAGAATCGCCGAGCAGAAACTGATAGCCAAGTTTCACACCCATGAAGATGGCGTCAACTGTGATCATGAATCTCCACAGCAAAACCCTGACCAATTAGATTCTCAGACCAGGCAGGTGTCAAGATTGCATCTCCAAACCAACAAGGCCCGACCAGTCAGCACCCCATTCATATGCTGTTTAAAACAAAAGGCTTCCTTGTTTCAGGACTGCTTCTTACATCCTGATTTTGATAAGTGCAAGACAAAAAGCTTCAACTGCTAGCATCCTTTTAGCAATATTTAACTTCAAATAATGTAGACAAACAGCAGCAGCGAAATAACTCACTCAAGTTGCACATACTGTATGTGCAGGAGCACCAAGCAAATGTGGAAGGTTTTTTGTTTTTGCATTTAGATTTTGACAGAATTACCTTTCAAAAAGAACATGCCGTTCAAACCAATAGGTCACTTGTCTAGGGGTAACTTTTATATTCCAGTCAAGCCTTCTTCAATCCTATAAATCTCTCTATTTCTTTTGGTGACAGTTTGTCTCCAACATGGCGTTTTATTTGAATCAATGCTTATGCCATCCCGTGTACTATAAGAAACTGAGTATGCTTAGCATGTTATTGTGGTTTATGCACAAACATTACATTCCTCAGGCACGCAAGTCTGTGCTAATATGAAGATATTTGTTATAGAGCAGCATATTTCTAATAGAACAGATTGCTTGAAACAATGACACAAGATGGAATAGGAGCCCTCTATACATCTGGGTCACATGCTATAACATAGTGACAAAATCATAAGCATGGTCTCTTAAAAGCCTTGAGGCATACCTTGCCTGTTTTAAAAAAGACATATGCTGGAAAGTTGACTTCATATACTAACTGATATTGTTTTACACTTCGTGTCATGGAGAACATCAAGCCTCCTGTCATTCAATTAGATCATGGCCAATCACCTACATCAATGCTACTTTCCCACTCTATTTCTAAATGCCTTGATGTCATTGGTCTTCAGAACCCTAGATTTCTGTTTTGAGCATGTTCAACGATTGAGATTTCAGCACCCGCTGGATTAGAGATTTCCAAATATCCCTACCCTCTGGGTGAAGAAATTACTCTTGAAATCTTCAAGTCTTAAATGGCTTACCACTTATTCTGAGATTATGTGCCTCACTAGTCAGGAGAAATATGACACCTACATCCAATCTGTCATGCCCTCCAAGAACTGTACAAGTTTCAATGATATCAACTCTCATATTTCTTCAAAATTCTCGAGGATATAGACCCAGGTTCCTCCATCTCTCCTCAAAATCAATTCCACCATCCCAGGGATTAGTTTCAGGAACTTTGTTGCATTATCTTGATAGCAAGTATATCCTTCCTTAGACAAGGAGGAAAAAAGTGAAGTCAAGTAAACAAGTCTGTTGGTTTCCATTCTCTCTCTCTCTCTCCCTCCCTCCCCATCTCCATCTCCCTCCTTAAATAGTGAGGTCACACTGCTACTTTCCATGCTGCAGGAACCTTGCCAGAATCTACAGAATTTTGAAAGGTAACTACCTACGCATTCATTATCTCGACAGCCACATTTTCAACACTCTGGAAAGCTGCTCATCAGGTCCAGGGAACTTATCAACCTTCAATCCTGCTAACTTTTCATGTTCTCCCTCTGCATTAATGCTATTTTCCTTCAGTCCCTTGGTCACCCAGTATTTCTGTATGATCTGCTGTGAAGACAGACACAGAAGTAATTATTTAGTTGGTCCACCATTTCCCCATTCTCCATTTCTTCACTCTACTTATAATGGACCCATTTCCGTCCCAAGATAAATACTTATTTTCTTTTTCAAGTACCTAAACAAAGCTTTTACATAGCTGTAAGCAAGTATTAAGCAAGCATGTGTTATTTGCCCTTCATCAGTTCCTTGGCCCTGCATTGCTGGGTTCTAAATTGTTCCTCACCCTTGCGTGTCACAGTAGATGAGATATTTGTATATCCTGTGTATTCTGGAAAGACAATTAGATAACTCAAAAATAACACACAGTTGATGCCCATTACATAATGATGCCTGAAAAATCTCTCAAGTACGCTGCACCCCTCCATTTAAAAAGAC